AGGTGTCTAAGTATGACCTAGGGTAGAACTGAGGTGTCTAAGTATGACCTAGGCTAGAACTGAGGTAGCGGCAAGAAGGCCAAGGGACCTCAGGAAAGGCTAGAGGAAGAGGAGAAGGAGCTGAAAGGCGAGGAGAGGAGGAGGAGAGTTAGATGTGGAGGCCCGCCTTGGCGTGGAGACCTGCCAGACCAGGGACGTGGGGCTCTCTCTGGGCGAGGGGAAGGGTGCACAGCTAAGGAGAAAATGTGGAGCCTGCAGCACTCCAGCATTTGCATGTGGAATTAATTAGATTAAGAAACCTGGAAAGCAATTGTGCCCACTGCTAGGTGAAATATCCATTTGATACACAACACTGGTGGAGAACCCCAGCACTCTCAGCAGCTCAGCTGAGTCCCCAGGGCAGGTGAGGGGACCACTGTAGACAGCACCATGGCAAAATCCTGGGGGCTCAGCCTGACCTGCACCTAGGCCCTCCCTCCTGGGGCAGGGGGCATGGATTTAGATGCTGGTTCAAAACAGAGGCTTCCGGAACAGATCAGGAAGCTCCAAACTCCTGGAGCAGAGGGGCTGTTCTCAGCTGCGCTGGGACTCCCCAGACCGAGGGCACTGCCCAAAGTGTCTGCTTCAACCCCGGTGAGAACACTCAGTGACTCCCTGAGAACAATACCTTGGTCTTGAATCACACAGTCGGTGGTGACCAGGGGCGGGACCTGGCCTCTGGTGTTGGTGGCATACACTTGTCCCCCTCTGGCTGCTCTGTCACTCTCGATCACCTGGATCTGAGGCAAGACACAGCAAGAGCAGGTAAAGGAAGCTGAGACCCCCATACCAGCTCGGGGCTGACCCTTCCTTCTCCCACAGGGGGATTTCTGAGCCCCCCCCACACACACACAGCCTGCCCGCTACCTGGCCTTGCCCCTCCCCTTATAGCCCGGCCCTCCCGGCAGGCTGTGCTCTCCGTAGCCTGCCTCCTGCGCAATGGAGACTCAGGGTCCAGACTCCTGGAGGAGTCCAGGGCGTGTGAATGGTAATGGATAACGAGTCCTTCCAGGGAGACGGCACTCACCGGGCTGGGGACAGCATCGGGGTCCAGCTGCTTCGGGGGCTGCGGCCCAGCCATGCGCGCAGGGCCGGGGGCGAGGCCTCCAGGGTAGGACGCGGGCGCGCCCATCTGCGGGCCATAGCCGGCAGCTAGAAGAAGGGGAAGGAGGGTCACCGGCTCCTGGGCCCAGGCCCCTGCAGCAGGCTGCAGTGCGGACTCCGGCTGGCCTGGCCTTGGGATTCCACCCCCCTAAAGAGAGCCACTGGCTCTGGAAACCCAGGACCCACACCCGCCCTTACCCTGCGGCGGGAAGGCTGTGCCTGCGGCTGGCGGGGGCGCACCTGGGCCATTCAGCGCAGTGGGCGGTGGCGGCAGCACCCGGGGCCCGGGCTGCAGAATGGAGGGCAGCGCGGGCTGCGGAGGGCCTGGGAACGTGGGAGGGCCGGCGGGGACCCCGCTGGGACCTGCGGAAGACAGCGCCGCTGAGCGCAGCCTGGGCCTCGGTGCCTCACCTAGAGACGTGAAGGGGGGCACTCGGGGCCCTGGAAAGCTCATAGGGGGCAAGAGAACAGGACTGAGGGTCACCCGGGTGCATTAAGGTTAGGTGATCAGTGCATTAGCCAAGGCACAGAAACGGGCGCAGAATTCTTGCTGTTTCACGCATTACTCAGGCAATCTGCACGTTTGACTAGGCATTTTCATCCTGGGCTTCTCCATCAAGTGATTTCTGCAGCCAGAGAGAAGGGGTGGGCTGCTAACCCCCAGTCACACTGGAGAGAGTGGAAACGGCGCTGCTTCTCTAAGAAGAGTCCTCTGGGGAGACTCAACCCAGGGCCTCCTGCACCCGAAGCAGGTGCTCTACCTCTGAGCTACCCTCACAGCTCTAAGACTTACCCAGCTGCAATTGGTCAAATATAAGAAATATTTGCAGGGTTTTTAAGTGGATACTTGTTTAAAAAATCAAGTTTAAGCAGTATGAAACATCCTTGATCAACACAGCTGGCTGGTGTCCCACCTCCACAGCAGAGATTTCCTAGGCTGCTAGGCGCCCGACTGCGGGGCAGCTCTCAGAACCTGACTGGGTGCCGCCTCACAAGGCCCCCGCTTCTCCGCCCCCATGGTCGACACACAGAGTTTGAATGCACTGTGGGCAGCGAGCATCCTATTTCTATTTTGGGGATCCACAGTAAACAACACAAGTTTGAAATTCCCTCACATTTCTTAAAATAATTTCAGTGTTCTAATGTCTCCTCATGAAATCTGTATTTTTGGACATTAACTGTAGAGAGTGCGGAGGCTCCTGTGGTCACCTGAAGGTCATACACAACGCCCGTGTGCCAGTGCCCCGTGGTGCGCCAGGGCTGGCGCTGCCTTGAAGGGCACCTCGGTCACAGGAGCCCACGAGGCAGGCCGTGCCGACACTGAGGCTGTTACCGTGGCTGTTGAGCTGCATGGCCCCCAGCTGGCCGCCCAGCTGGGTGACGGGTGACGTGGGCGCGGGACTCGGGTAGGACGGCTGTGCAGAGGGTTGGCAGGGGGCGCATGCGGAGGCCACACTGTGCACAGGTGCAGGGCCTGTGAATCTGAAGACAGAAAGCAGGTCAGTGCTGTCACCCCTGGAGCAAGTGGCAGGCACAGGGTGTCCTGACGGGCAAAGCCAGGCAGGTGGCTGTGGGCCAGGAGCGTGGTGTGCCACAGATGAGCCTGAGGGCTCTGCAGAAACCGGGCGGCACCTCCCCACACCTCCACTCACACCTTCAGGGTCCAGAGCAGAGGACACTTCTGAGTGGCAAACCCGGCCTGAAGTCAGCAGGGAAGCGGAGCTCACCACAGTGGTGTGTGGACCCTGCCAATGGTCAGCAGCAGGGTGAGAAAGCTCCACGCTCCTGGCCACCTTCAGGACAATCCACTTACGCCCCAGCAAGCTGTGAGCAAGGCCACGCAGTTCTCTGTTCCCAGGCCACAGCACATTCCCCACGAAACGTGGACGTGAGCGGAGCTGCTGGTTCTGGGCTGAGCTCCAGCGTACCTGCCTGGGGAGGCGGGGCCTGTCTGCGCTGCACTCCCGCTCCAAACAGATCAATTACGACTGAGGTTCATCGGCCACAGCAGCGAGACGGTGCTTTGCACCCACACCATGTGACTCTAGTCCTACAGGTTTCAACTTTGAGTAAAAATTAAATGTCCCCAGTGCAGCGGGCTGATTGCATTTCCCGTCTGTGCACTGGGAAGCATTCCCTAGGGCCGCACCCAGAGAGAGGCAGGGGCAGGGCCCGAGGAGGCCAGTGGCTTGCTGTGCCGGCCTGGTGACAACACTGCCCCAAACAGCATGCTGACCTCCCCTCACTTTCCTCCATAAAACTGAATGATTTTAAATAAATCTTAATATTAACCTCCAACAAGTACTCTGTCGAGTGTGTTTCCAACAGGCCTTGAGCCTAAATGGATGGAAAACGGGGGGCCTCACAGGTGCCTCAGGAGGACAAGCTCCCTGTGGCGGGGCTTCACGCACACCCAGGAGGCAGGCTCTGAGAGTCACAAACGGTGTCCTTCCAACCAACTGAAACTTACTCAGATTTGGATTTCAGAAGCAAAGTTATCAATTTAAAAATAGAATGGTATTAAATAGCAGCAAAAGTCACTACCTATCAGATAGAATTAACAGGACATTTAAAACATACAAATTGCTGAATATTTTTTCACTTTTCAATTTACTTTTCCCAGAGTCGACATCTAGGTAGGAGCCCAGGCTTCAACCCTGGCCTGTGGACTGGGGTGTGACCACAGGCACGCCACCTCACCTCACGACCCTTGGCCTTGGGACAACAGGCAGCAGGGGGGGCAGGACGGCCCTTTCTCTGCTACACAGATGATGTGGTCAGAGTGAAGAGCCAGATAGAGTTTTGTTTGGGGGCTAAGAAACATTCAAATATAGGTTTTATTTATTATTTCATTCAATGTCAGAAAAGGGCAGACTCACCACTGAAAGGAATGCTCAATGAGCGATCACCATCGGATGATCAATAAGACATGGAATTTAGCTCAGTTTAAACTTCAGCTTCTGAAGAGCTGACTGTGGCCCTGCTCCACACTTCCCCTCGAAAAAGCGCTTCTGAAGAGCCAACCAGTGCAGCCAGCGCGTCAGTACGGGGACGAGAGTCTGCAGTGGCGGGGACCCTCCCAACCACAGCAGGCAGTGCTACCGGGCAGGTCCCGGAGCTGGGCCTTCAGGGGGAGCAGAGCCCCAGAGGACACATGGGCCCTTGCCTTCCCACAGGGTGCCCCTGGTCCACAGGAGGACGCACGGGCCCTTGCTTTCCCACAGGGTGGCCCCTGGTCCACAGGAGGACACACAGGCCCTTGCCTTCCCACACGGTGCCCCCTGGTCCACAGGAGGACGCACGGGCCCTTGCCTTCCCACAGGGTGCCCCTGGTCCACAGGAGG